GATTTGGAATTTCTTAAAGATTTTAAGTTTAGGATGCAGGTTTATATGTAGGGATGGGCAATGTAATAATTATGTAAACGATAGCTAAAAGTTAACCCTTACATATTATTAAGTAATTTAAGGGTCATCGATTACAAATAAACTATCAACTACATATATGCAAAATTGTTTATGAATTAACTAAAAAGATCGATCGTACCGGAATTGGCTATTTTTGCTACGCGAGTTATGTTGATACCACCACTTCTGCTGAATTCTGCTGAAAGTGAAAGATTCTGGTCATTTATTGCAAATATCCATTCACCACAGCGTAACAAACTTATAAATGAACGTGCAACAAAAAATAACATGAATTTAATGGCATATTGCACAAGAAAGAAATAATTCGCATTATATTGTTCAAAATAAAGAAAATAGGCTTGATCAAATCGTTCAAACTAATACAGCTAATTCTAGTGAAGCATGTCTTGAAAATACTGTATCGAATATTGAATTTGATGATAAAGCATGTCTTGAAAATACTGCATCGAATATTGAATTTGATGATATGGAAAATAATAATAATTTGGAAGAAAATTTGGAAGAAAATTTGGAAGAAAATGTAATGCAAACAATTGAAAACATTGATAATTTTAATACTAAAGATCAATTTATAAATAATGAAGCCGTAATTGAATCTTCTATTCAAGTCACACATAGTATTCAAGAAAAAACTTTAGAGGACTAGTTAGTTTAGAAAATCTCGATAATGTTAACCATTAAATTAATCATTAATTGCATACGATAAATTGAAATTTGCTGCTAAAAATATAAATTTATTTTTAAACAAAAATAAATATTAAGCTTGAAGTCTTTCTTTTATCTTGGCGTATTGATTTTACCATAATTTGTAAGAATATGTTAAAATATGTAAAAATATATAAAACTTTTGCCCATCTCTATTTATATGAAATAAATTCTAAATCCCATTTAAATTCCGTTCTGATTTACAACATATATAAGAACATTTAAAGAACTAATCTTTAATATACAATTTCTATTATAATCCTGACACTCAAATTTTCGATAACCATTTTATCCGTTAATTTTCTTTGAAAAAAAAAATATGAAGGGATTTTTTGAACGAATTATAACTATTACTGTATTATTAGTAGGCTTAATCCGAATTTTTTTACATCGTCTATTGTACTAGCTGCTTTAATTATTTCAATTGGGTTTATGATTGCAGTTGGCGTTGGATGGTTAAACCTAATTTTTCTAGCTGAAAGTCCATTTATAATGGGTATACCAATGGCAGTGACTTTCATAACAGTGGATTCAATTACATTAATATTCAGTGGCGTTTTCAATTGGTGGACGAGTTTTTACGTATCCAAGAAAAATTACAATGAGGATGATAATAACTATAAATATTTAATAGTAACAATAGATAATAGCACTGATGTTGGAATTAGACCCGCAATAGACCGATTTAAAATAGATATTCCACTCCCATTAAAAATTATCGGTATTATAGCGGCTTTAACTGAAATACTTGACATATTTATTGGATCTTCATTAGTCCCAATTACAGTGCCATTTTCGCTACCCTGATAATACACTTATTGCAAATCCTTTAGGTTTATGTGATACCAAGGATATTAACAATAACTCATGCCAAATTTTATTCCAAAATAAATTTAATTTTCGGTGGTTTCAGGAAGCTTTAACATAATGATAAATGTATATTCTAACGATCTGCCTAGAAGGCGAGGGGGCAAAAGAAGTGTAGTAAAAAATTTGAGAATACTGATGGTAGCAGCCGTGCATAACGGTTCTAATTCGATTTATCGGCTTGTTGAAGTTGCAGATGAGAGTTACATTATTCCAGCTTTTGGTATAATTAATTTATGTAATGGCTCTATTTGATAAAAATGAATTCGTATATTTAAAACATATAGTAATTTAACAAATTTAACAGAAGAAGAAGCACATGTCAACTTAATACGTGCTATGGAAGGGGAATCAAGCTAGAAGGCCGATGGATAGCAGAAGTCATTAAACTTGAACTGGATGAAAATCGTGGTGAAACAACAGGAATTTCTTTTAAATTTGTGCAAATATTAAATTTAGTTCATTTTGTATCGGAAAATCTATATGGAAGAACTCTTATTGTCAGTTATGTCAACCAATGGATAATCGACCATTTGTTTGCTATATGAACACTCATGTTGAAAATTTAAGTCGTGTAAAAGCTGCATGTGATAACAATAATCTCTGTGGTTCAGGGAGAATCTAAATTAAATTATTCAAGCCCAAGGCCAGTATATAACACGCACATACATGATAGTCTTGCGATATATGACAGTCACATGTTGATACCTCGATGTAAAGATAATTCAAGTGACAGTTGTTTAGAACTTCATGTAAAGGATGTGATTCAAGTGCGAGATCAGTTTATTAAATTATTACATAGAATCGTTGCATCTGGAGTCATAGCCAGACAAAAATTGTTAGCAGATATGGTATGGTTTGGGTGAAAAAATGACTGTCGAAACTGCAATAAGATTAACAACCGGCGTAATTCTAGAGGTTAGAAAAGGATACTGGGTTACTGTTCTCATAATAACTGTATTATGCATTATTGTGTTTATCTCTTGGTTTCTAAGATACCGACAATTTAAGTATAAAGTCATCAAATATGTACTAATTATTTGATGAGAAAGAAGAATGATGGAAAGGATAGTTGCAGCGAATACAATAGACACCACTTAGAAATCCTAAACCAACACACACAACACGGACACGGGTTGTTGCTCACTTTTCCGAAGTCCATTTTTCTGAAATGCCATTTCACCGAAGTCGTAATACCGACAATCCATTTTACTGTCGGGACAGAAATAGGTATGTGTCATTTCACCGAATATCAATTAACCGACAAGTTTATTTCATTGACAGTTTATTTAACCGGCAGTCATTTCACCGACAAAGTAATTCTGGCCATTGTCATTAGAGTCAGAATTAGAGTTAAGGTTAGTGCAATTTTTTTTAAAAAAACCTGTCGGTGAAATGAGCTGTCAGTGAAATAATTGTTAGTAAATAAACTTATCGGTTATTTGATTTTCGGCGAAATGACACAGACCTATTTCTGTCCTGCTAGTAAAATGGATTTTCGGTATTACGACTTCGGTGAAATGGTGTTTCAGAAAAATGGATTTCGGGAAGTTAAACCGGAACCTAATTGAATAAGAAAAGAACTTCAATTATTTCTTAAAAAACCTTGTGACCTCGCGATTCTGTTGCTCTTGTCGCAGATTGAAATTTAAAAAGCGACTACGTAACTGATTTTGGTGGCGATACTAAGTGCGTTAATTGGGGAGAAATTGGTAAATCAAAAAAGCACGGGATGTCACATAAGACCCGTGCAATAAATGCGTCATATAGTTGACGTATATATCATGTAATAATTAAATAGTAATTCGGTTTTTTTAATTTTGCCCAATTCCAAAATGCGTCGCATGAAAAAAAAGCTTTTTTAGTACAAAAAAAATAACATTCTAATTTGATGCATCTTTTAGATTCTTGTTTGATGCTTGTCTAGATGCTTGTACATTTTCTTGTATTATCTGCTTTTAATTTAACGCTCGAAAAGTACCACTAAAATGGTTGAGTTGCATATATAATAAGATTTGAAAATAAAGTTGAGTAGGGTAGGTGGTATGGGATCCCTAGGCATGCCTCGGCTTGGGGGCCATGCCCGAAATTTTACCGTGCCTCCTTACCTAAAGCTGAGAATTCTCATTAATTATTCAAATTTATCATTTTTATTTATCAAATCTCTTTTCCCATTTTATAATATTCTATTCCTTCTTCAATTAAGATTTCATTAAAAGTTATAAATCCTCTTCTTTCATACCATTCTATTTTATCAATTCTACTATATAAAATACATTGCTTAAACCCTAATTCTGATTTTGCAAACGACTCTACGGTTCGAAGAAGTAATTCACCCACTCCCATTTTACGATATGGTTTCGAAACTGATAGTGAATTCTAAAAAAAAGTTGTCAATCACAAATCCCTTAGTTTGTTAAGCAAGATTAAACCACGTATTGGCGTTATTATCGGCTAAATTAGCTGTTAACAGTTTTTTTTTTATAAATACGTATGAAGCTTTTATATTATAACTTTTTGCAGATTAAATTTTTTTTGATTTTAACTTGAAAATACCCTGGACATCAGTAGCATACTTTATTTTTTTTTATTAAATATATTAGGTTTATAAATTTTTAAATATTTGAGAGAAATATTAAATACTAACAATAATATCAATAAAATTTTTTTTACTATGCAAGTAACATCTAATCGTATTGTTAATTTACTGACATGACAAATTATGATTATATTATTCAATCAAATTATCGATTAAGGGTGTTCTCAAGCACCTCACTCAATGGATCGGAAGCAAATTTTTAATAGTCGGAAATTGAATAAATTAACCAA